TGATGGCTAACATATGGCAAACTTGTTCAGAATATTAAACCCTGGTTGTGCTTTGACAGCACTATGTTCCTACTCGTTGCTGTATTGGCCTCTGCCAAACACCGTTGCTAACCCACATGAAGATTAATGATTCCAGGATTTCCCTCAACTTTAAGGGCAAGCGATGGCTCATTATACAGTTATTAAAAACTGCTAATTATTGACACATTTATTATCCCAGGCAATCTCATTTGCCCCACTAATGTCAAAGCTTCCATTTCTGCCATCTGCATTGGAACCAATGTGTCACATGAACCACAACGGCACACTCACAGTTGGCTACAATGCATGTGAATGTCGAGCAGAGGTCCCTGAGGCCCTGCCTTATCCTCTGACTCTCTTCTGAGGTACATTCACCGGTACCAGGACTATTCAATGTTTTGAAAATCTAAAATAAGTATCAAGTCCTAACCAAAGGCCTAAATCAACACAGCCCAACTCTCAAGTCATAAACTTTAAAGTGCGATTAAGTCCTTACTGTGTGATAATCGCACACAGCTGCTGTGTCCTTACCAGAAGTGACAATCGTTGCCGCTGGCTAGCTAGCTACAATCATTAGCGTTACCAAATCATTACAGACTGCTCCATTAAGCCTATAAACTTAAAGGTGGCTTCTTTTTGACATCAGTATAGTTGTGCTTTACTTTAAAAAAGAAAAAAAAACACATGTCTACATTTATGTGTATAATGCTTTGGTTACCGGAGCAACCACAATCCTGACTGGTTATGAGTGCACCATCCTTGTACACATACAGTGTAGTGCACTGCATTTTCCTATACTTTAGGTTGGGACGCACTCGAAAAAGAAAATGTAAGTACAAAAGTACGTACATTGAGGCACAGCTCAAGCCATAATGTGCTCTTCTACAAATGTAATGCCATCTTTGGCAATAAACAAATGGAAATAATGAATTAATTCACAATTTTTTACATTCATTTCATTATCAAGTGTTCTGAAGTGAAATTCTCAAGTCCATGGAAAGTCACAAGCAATTTTCAACCCTTTACAATGTCCCAAAAACTAAGTCTTGGATCCCTAAAAAAAAATGTCACACTTCAACCTCAACGTAATCTTTATATATCTTTGTTTTAGGATTTTGCAATCAAATTGGCAGAGGGAAAAGGAAATGCACAAAGTAACTGTTTAATACTCTATTTTTAGAAAATCTGAGTAAAAATGTGGAGAATAGCCTACTTTTATACAGATTTAACAAATGTTTTCTTGTCTTTTTTCAGACCTGTGTTGAGTACATTTGGTGTCTTTTTAAAATAACACAACAACAACAGTTCATGCATGAATGGGTCCAAGTCTAGCGCGATACTTTTTCATTCCATCAAGTTCATGTGAAAGTCATAAAATGTGTGACTGAAGCCCAAGCCTCCGGTGTGTAGCCTACAATTGATGCATTTACGTACCATAACAACCTGCTTTAAAAGCACAGATTGCCATCACTGATCTATACAGTGCTGAGCTCTCTGGGTCATTTCCTGTTAGTGGTTTCACTTGTTGTGTCTTTGAAGCAGGCTTTAATAATAGGACCCAACAGAACTAATGAAAATGCTGTCTGTCAGATTAAAAGGGAGCTTCAGTCTCAGCCACCTAACCACATTCAGCACAAACAGTAAAACACGGGCACACACAGAAGCGAGCGTGCACACACACAGTTTACAGAAGTGGTTTACACAGGGAGGACCGTTCCTTCTGATGTGTGGATGACTGCTTACGCTCGTAACAACACAGAGAATACCATCTTGTTTCTCACAGCAGTAGAAAAAAGCGAAGTCAAAGCGGAAAGGTGAGGTGAAGTAAAGAATGGCATTCCTTCAAAATGTGCGATGTGATTCTCTTTATATCCCTTTTTTTTCCATTTGCAGACGCCGCAATGTGTGCTCTAGTGGTGGTCCTGTGCCTAATGAATCCACTTCAGTGCAGTTCCTCTCCGTAAGGCTTTAGGTTTAATCCCTCAGTCTGGAGCAGTGATAGTCTGGCCCAGGGGATGACATCTGTGAATCGTTCATTAACTTGTAACCAGCAGCAGATGTCTTCAAAAACAACATCTACGCCTTATTCCTTTCACTGGAACTGCTTTGCTTCAAACATTATGGGGCTCAACTGGCTACTTAAAGCTGTTTACTGTAATATTTGAAAATAATATTACATTTTATGAGAACAATGTAGTGAAATATGGTGTCCTGAAACTGACAAAATGTGGTTAAACTGTTTTGAGACAAGTCAAATAAATAACTGAACACAATCCAATCATTTTTTCCCCTCTTTACCACCAAGCACTGGATTTAATAAATAAAACATATTTGATTTTTCTTTTATGTTTTTTTTTTAAATTCCCTCATTTATTGGTCTAGACACACATTTAAACATTAATGTATTTAACTTATGCAACATTTTAGTTTTTCACATTTATGTGTTAATGAGATGGTCGATACACATTAAACTTTATGCATGTGTACAAATATGTGAACATGACCGGGCTAAAGTAGCCTTAGCAACAGCCTCCCTGGAAGAAAAGCCTTACATGATATAATTAGGTTTTTGCTGTTTTGGATGCATAATTATGAGTAGGCCCAAAAATGTAAGTCTTCTTGGGATGAAGACAGTTTTTTAATTTTATTTAACTGAATTGTATTATGATGTTGACATACGATCGAGTAATGCATTTTTAGAAAGAAAAAAGCACTATGTGGACAGATGGCATGGAAAAGGTGAAATTTCTAAATGAACCGGCTTTATGTATTTTATTTAAAACAACACCTTAAAATTGATTGGCAAGTTCAATTATTATATTTTCGTTTATTTAAGATCCAGCCCATTACATGCTTGTCTCAAATGTTGTCAAGGTGGAAGTTTTAAACTGTGAAAATGAATAGCCTCTTGTTTCAAATGTGCCGTGCCTCTTTGAACACTGTGAAAGATGTTCAGGCACAAACTGCTCTGTATTCGGCCTTAAGATGGATATGGAGCATATATAGAGCAGGGTATTTTAACATGGAAATATAACGTGTGATTCCAGGGGGGGGTTAACCAGAGCAGGAAGACTGTGGTCCAAGTCTCCCAGGATGATGAGACACAGGGTGATAATTCATCTGCTACTGTGCATCTTTAAGCTGTCCGGCAGATTCAGTTTTATTTATTTTTTAATCTTCGGAACAATAATTATAGAGTGTGGATCTCTGGCTAAATTATCCGTGACTTGCATTAAAAAATGTTCTCGTTGCCCATGGAGGACGATTTGGCCCAGAGAATACTTTTTTTATTTGATGTTTTGAGGACCACAAAAGTGAATAAGTGCGGCACGCATCGAAAAAGGAGGTGATCGAGTGTGTGTGCGTGATAAAAGGCAAGTACTGCAGCCAAATCCATGTTGTCAGTGTATGATGCTGGAAAATGAATGCGCCACCAACAACTTGAACAGATCTTTTTGCCATTCATGAGGATACGTCATAGTGAATTACAAACCCTTAACAGTGCCGTCATGCTGTTAAGGCCCAATCGAGCATATCCAATCCTTTGGCTGGAGGTATCACTTGTGTCATGCAGTGCAACATGATGGATTTCACAAATGTTTTCGAGATCACATAATATTACGCTGTAGTGAGACAAGGAATCGGCAGTTTCGGAGTTTAGCCACATATATTATAGCCATAGACAATAATGAAAGGCTTCATCATACAGTCACATGAAATGTATTTTAATAAAACACAATGTACACATATGCAGTCCTATGACCATACATTTAGCTGGATCCTAATCATTAAACCTAGAATACGTCAAAGCATAGTTTTGTCTTTTTTTCTTCTTCTTTAAATCAGTAGATGAGGTCAACATGAATGCAATACAACACTTTGCGTGACATCAGAAAAAAACATTTTCCACGTGTGAAAGATATGCACTTGTTATAAGGAACTCAAAGAATATTTCAGCATATAAGAGTAACAGTATGAGGCAAAAGTTCTCAAAAATAGTACAAAATAGAATTAATAAATAAATCAAATATATACCATATAAATGAAATAGCTACAGTATGTGGCGGCTATGTTTATTATTTGTTTTTAATCATTTTAATCTGTAGCTTGGTATTACAACCTTTTTCTCTCTAAAACATTTAGAACGGTGAACGAGTCATTACTGAACATACAGTAATAAGCTTTCATAATTAGATAAACTATGTACACATGAGTCTGTTGCCATGCTAGTCGAACAACTAAAATGTCTTCTTTTTTTATCCACACTATACAGTTAGAGCATAAAGCAGTCTGAACGTAAACAGTTTGTGCTGAGAATAAAATACTTTTGCAACTATGGTAATTTCTTTTAATATTACTCTCAAAAATGTACATAACATAAAGGCCACACATGGGAACGCTCCGTCTCCATTTAGAGGGGAAGGTGAGGGTAGTTTTGACATAAATATATAGGAACGAAAAACAGTCTCTTTAAGTTCAAGATGCCATTTTCTTGTCCATCTGCATCATTTGCTTCAGCCGAATCCCCTTCGCTCTTCATACTTGCTCTTATTTTCCACCCCCCCCCCCCCCATCCCACCCTATTCCCCGAGCAGTTTAGCTTGCCAACTCCCTCACTACCTCTCCTATCCACCTCCCTTTATCCGCCTCTCCCGCCTCCACAGTCTCTGGTTGCCCCTCCGTTTTCCATCACCCTGCCTGGTTAATGACATTGTTAATGACGGGAAATGAGCTTGGTAATGTCAACTGTAAAAGGTCCACAATGCAAGGGGGCGGGGCGGGGCTGAGAGTCACCTGGCTGGTCACTTCGGCATAGGCGGAGGAGAAGCAGCGGGGGAATGAGGCGTGAAAAGCGTGTGTTGATACCGATATCGCATGTCAGACATATATTTTTGGGACTTGTGAGTCATGGTTGTGTCCTTGGGGGGGGGGGGGGGGGGTGGATGGGGTGGAGGGGTTGGGGGGGGGGGGGGCGGAGGGATGAGGCGGTGGATAGTCGTCTGTCAGAATATGGGTGCAGCAGCTTTGCGTTGGTTTTTCTTTGTTCAATGGGAAGTCCGTAGTACAAGACCTCACTGGCTGGGGCGCGAAGAGGCCAAGTGGTCGCTGTGCTGGTTCTGGGCCCGAAACCGCAGCCTCTGCTTGTTCTTCTTCTTTGGTTCTTTGGATCGCTGCTTCCCTGAGCCTTCAGGGTAGACAGAAAGAAAAAAGAAAGATTAGTTATCCCTTTAATCAGTTATACCCAAAGATTGTTAGTATCGTCTATCATGTGTTTCATACAACCTCGTGTCAGTCTTTCTACTCAGTGTAATGAGATCTGTTTCTTGTACAAATGTTACATGACGGCTACGTTTGGATTACCGGCCGAGCAAAGCAGCCAACTGCCCTGGGGCTCCAGACCCTAGGGGCATCTGGAGGCCAAAGGTTGTCTGTGTGACAATTACCTAGAAGTAACTTGAAGTTGATTAATTGTAAATCAGCTTGAAACACAATAAAACTGTAAATGCCCACACAAATGTCAGGGTAGGGTTAGGGGCGCTTCCTGGACGCTTCCTTAACTCATAATACTTTAATACAGAAATATGTAGACACAAAATTCACAAGAAAACTCCAAGGAAATATGCTTTCAAGCTATCCAAATGTCTTTTGATAATACCGTAATTATGTTATACATAAATAAGGTGACCCTATGACCCTGTCTTTTATTTTGCCCCTGTGTCAAAATGTTGTCCAATCTCTTTATATATTTAGTTGATATTAGGCCTACAATGTGCATATCTTTACACAAAAGGTTCTGCCAACAGCGGAACTTGAGCATGGTAATATACAAATTACGGTTGGTTTCTGGGCCAAATGGGTTTAGGGAAGCTCACCCTGCACATAATAAACGTCCTCTCTCTTTCCAGTTTTCTGACAAAAGTGTGTTGGCTGAGTCCTTATAAGGAGGCCTCTATAAGATACAACAACAACAACCCAAAATATCATCTTTTATCAGATATTTTGTTTGCGAAAAGACCCATGCAGTGTCTCACAGAAACAGCAGTTACGTCACATAAACTCATTGAGCTGGACTCAATATAAAGAGATTGTTGGCAACGGTTTGGTGCTGCACTAAGCATATCTGCTTTACTGCACCAGGGACAGGGCTGCGGTACTACTGACTCAACTCATCACAAGGACTTCAAATAGGAATGTTTTTGAGTATTACCTTCATCGGGTAAGAATTAGCCATGGCAAACAACCAAGGATAAAGCAACATATTGATGGGTGCAAAGGATAGCTTTTCAAGCAACAAATTAATGACCTGTGAGCTCCACTTCGATTGATTTTACTGTAAACTGTAGTGTGTAAAAGCAAACTAATGAAAAAGACTGCTGTGGAATGGATTATGTGAACTCAACCTGCTTATTTTGGGCTGGAGAGCTCCGGATTTGGGGCTTGAGCTTGGATTTGATTACACTGTCGGAAAATGTGAAAAAGGTGATGGAATAGGAAGATAACCACTTGGGAAAATGTTGGTTTTAACTACAAGCTGCTAAAAATGAATCAAAGTGTGCTTAGAATAATGATGCCTCGTAAAGATACCGAAAAGGTCTTTAATGCCTTACAAGTTCTCCAATTTTTCTCAATGAAAATGGTAAGATTATATAAAGAAGTCAACCTAAGATGAAGGAACACATATCAGGTCTTGGTTTGCTTCAACCTTCATGACTTAATCTCTGTTGTCTGTTCAGCGCAACACTTTTCAACTGTCACTGCAATAGAAAGAGAAGATAAGTATGGGAAGTTGCATAACTCTCTTTTCCAAGTTGGAAAGGTCCCCCAGCCCAAGGTTAATCCAACCCAGGTTTCGCTGGGAAGGGCAAAGCATGCTGGGAACTGACTTCCTGCTCTCATGGAAGCTTGTGTGGTGGAGGTTCTGCACCCCCGGCTCTCTGTGACAGAGCAAACTCTGGCTACCGAACCGCAAGGCAACAATCCGGCTGCCAAGGCCACAAATAAGATAACGAGGTGTGTGTGCGAGATGTATGTGTGCAAGGAGGGGAGTGAGTGTGAGGGAATTTAAGGGAAAAGAAAATCTAATGGGGGGAAAAGTGGAGTAAGGCTTGGATGATGAGACGCTATCTGGATCCTGATCTAGAACACAAAGAAACAAGCCACGCTATGGTTCGCTGAGGGGCGAAGCACCGGAAAACGCTGCAGAAAAACAAGTCCTGTCGTTTCTCTGAATGATTCTCGGCCTTATTACTGCACTTGTTCAAGCTTTTTCTCTCACGAAAAATAGGTAACCGTGTGTAAAATGAGGGCATTATCTCTAATTGCCTTCTCATATGTGCTGGCATTGTAGTGGCCTTTAATGTGCCCTCACCAAAGACCTGTTTCTTATGCTCAGGGCTACACTGTGAGGTACATTTGAAAATATTCACTCATTTAAGTCGACACGCGTGAGAACTCAAGATATTGCCTTGCTAATAGGGTCTCCCAATTAATAATACAGATGCATGCAAACATCAAACCATCTCAGAGCTAGTTCCTGCAATTCATGTAATCTTGTTATTTGGAATCAAGTTGCCAATCTGAGCCTTGGTAATAAAGTTTCTCGCACACAGCTCCCAGTTAAAATCACCCTTTGAAAATAACGTTCAAAACTCTTCCATCAAAATCTCATGGCCTCCAATTGCAAAATACTACCCGGACACTTTGTACACTTGCTTTACTGATTCCACTTTAGATGTGTTGCATGACTTACGGAATGATAATGTTCATTAAAGTACTGTAAATCTGGAGCTGAAGGGCATTTGGCCTATAGGTTCTTTTTTTCCTAATTGCTCTTTAAAGAGGTCATTTTTATTCAAAACAGTGTTGCTAGGTGCCTGATAAATACGGCTTTCAATGCAATCAACTCAAGACAAATTACATTTGATGGCAATAAAGTGCATGGTGCAGCATTAAACTCCCTCTGAAATGGGTAAAGACTTGGTGGGCCCTTTCTTGGACACAGGGCTGCATTTAAACTGAAAAAGGCCTGCATTTACAGCAATTGCTTGAAACACAAATACATATGTGAGAGTTAAGTTAAAAAGTACTTTTCCTGGCTAGTTCAGAACTGGGCAGGAGATCTGTAATCCAAAGGGTTTTACACTTCCTGTAACAGTGCTTATAACACACCCAGGCACACACTTATCCACACAATTAACTGCAGGAAAGATGCAAACTCAGCAGCTGCATCGAGTCCAAAAGGTATATGATCTAGATATATTTCATAGGTAGACCTTCACTGAAAAGTTATCTTTCATGTATAAAACAACCGTAAAACTTTGACATTGATATGATCATTTCACTTCCCCCCTACCTTTTTTTTTTCTTCATATTTATCACTTATGAGCTATATTTTATACTAGGGGAAATGGGCAAACACGCAGAAATAACCCACTTCAATGGTAGCTTTTTCAAGCATTCAAGCTTAAAACAGCAGAGGACAGTATCTGCACTTTTTTAAGTTTGAGATACTTGTAGCATATATACTTTAAAGCACATACTTTTGTCTAAATGATACAAATATAGTCTCTGCAACATTTTACAAGCAGTTTGGCAAACAGCCAACATCCTTTTTTTCTAGGGCTGTTGTCTTTTGTTACTGGTTCCTATGATGTGGTATTGGTTGTAACAAGTTGATGACAGCTGTCAAGGCAGTTAGGCAAATCATCATTCAGCACATGGGATGTAGAAAAAAAAAGTAATGAAAGACTTTCCAGCAGGAACCAAAAACACTGTTTTCCAGTCATCACTTTAAAATGCTACCATTATAAATCACCAGACTCCGGATATATAACTATATGGTGTGGAGTCTTACAAAATCCACCATACTGATGAGATCTACTTTTATTAATTTGTTTGTCAAAAGATAATGACAATACTGACTTGATCACTTTCCCTGAAGCTACTGAAAACTCTCAATCAGACTCAATGCAAGAAAATATTGAAGTATTCACCTCAAACTCTTTAAACTGACTGATGACACCTACATTACAATCTAATACCATATTTTATAACCCAATCTCAATGCTGACAGCTAGAGGGCAACCAATCCCCACACAAGCCCCCTTCCCCCAGCATCTGATACAAAAGAGATGACCTATCATATCTACCCAAGAACTCCCATTTAGCCTTTCCCCCAGGGCAATGCGCATTCTGAACACTGAGCTTTCATCATCTCATATGTACAGCCGATGTAATCACTTAAGCTGATTACCAGGGTTCACAGAGGAAACAGTTTAATTTGCCTGGAAAGAAATTATTAAGTCATCTCGATTGCTTTCAAAACCAAGAAACAAATTCACAAATCTTAGAGCATGTTAAGATAATTTTGTCTTGGAAGGCACATTATGCTTCAAATCATTTACTGTCACACATTTAGTGTGTCTCGTCCTAACTGGGGATCAAATCAAGTTGTATGGCTTTTATCACAAAATTATAATCCTTCTTCTTTCCGGTTTGGATGCATTGGCTATCACTACAGAAAACCATAATTCAACCGATGTTTAGTTTAACTTCAAAGATACAATCTCCCTCTGCCAGTTTGACGTTTGTGTTTGTGTTTGAAATGAAAATTCAATCAAACCAACAAACAAAAATCTGAAGAGCAAATCAAAATGTTTTGTATTTCTGAATCAGAAGCAGAGCCTGCGGTGGGATGGTTGTTTTCCGCTGTCAACAATGACCTTTCCGGGATCCTTTGATGTCCATGCATGTGTGCGAGCTTTTCTGAGTGATATACTTGCCCTTTATGCCTGTACATTAGTGATCTTGGGCTTCTATATCACCTATGTGAGCTTGAGAAATACTTAGTGTCATTTCCAATCTTTTCAGCTGCCAAACCAGTGAGCAAAGAAATATTAAACTTCTATGCACGCACTGTGGTGGACGTTCATCTCAAATGCACCGCTTTTTCTTCCACATCATTCTCCTTCTCCCTTTTCCCCTCTCCATGTCCCTGCGAGCGCTATTTGAGGCTCTCAGCAATAATAGAGACGACTGCATGGTGAAGGTCCAACTAAGAGTTAAGCGCTATTAGACATATCATATTATTAGGGCTCGCACTCCAGAATAATATCTCCTTGCGGAGCGGCAATATGACTACTTGTCCAACTGATGCCCTGAAAGATAATCAGTCAAATCCATATC